GTTGCTTTTGGCGCCACAATCCCACTACCAACAGCATTGCAACCTTGCAAATAAAATGCGCCACCCGTTTACAGTCGTGCGGGGCAGAGAATCTCATGGCACCTTCAATACAAACATCAAGTCTAATTCTTCGAAGGAGCACTTCCTGGAAGCCCAGACCGGAGCACGGACGTCTGTTGTCTTCGAGTGGACACCATAGACAGGTACGCTGCTTTCCAAGCGTTCTCGCTGCTTCCTTCCCTCTTTTTTTCTCTTTCTTCCTTTCGTCCGTGAGCCAAATATTGTAACGCTGCAACGTTTATGGTTCATTAGCCAGAAGCTCTGCGTAACGACGCTTTGGATTCGCCCGTTTATTATATCATTTCAGCCAATCACTAGTGCCCTGTAGCGTGGCTCGTCGAAACCAGGCCACGCGATGGCGGCCATACCTCTCAAATCAAAAGCGCTGAAACTTCGACAGACGATAGAAGCCACTTTAAAGTGCACGAAAAGTCATGTCACGTTGGCGTTTGAGGTGTACAGCAGAAGTAAAGCGGCAATATGTTAATCCTGGCAATGACCATTTTTAGGCATTTTTAACATATATAGCCATATTTAGACGTCAAACGGCGGCGATCGACGCGCGGTCCGCTCCACCACGCAGGTTCACCAACATTTTTGGCCACATAGTTAGAAATACTCGATAGGAATCCTATGTTGATCTCTTCACGCAGCGCTAGTCCATAGAACCGTCGTTCCAACTCGCATCAGTTGAGAGGGAAGTGACAAACGAGAAAGCACTTTCGGTCGAGAAACCAAAAGAAGAAGTGAGCTGCCCAGGCTCGGTGTATTTTAGCGGAGCGGAGGATCCGGGACTGGTGGCTCGCAGAGGGATCATTCCAACAAGCGTTATATCACATACTGTTCAATGACAAGGCGGCGACCAGGCATCTCAGAGGCGCTCTCTTCATCAGATATCTTTTGATTAGGCAACATATAGATTCTATCCCCTCTGCTTCCATTTGCTCAAGCGCTACCGCTCGAGAGCGATTGCGTTGTCTCTGGCCTTGCTGCTTGTATTCGTTTCGATTTTGCCTCGAGTTAGGACTGGCGCGCTTCTACGAGAGCGTGCTCCTTCGTATGGCGCGTCGTTCGTCACGTGGTCATTCCCCGTGACGTCGAATAGCAAAAATGTTTGGTCGACTTTAGCGCCTTCGTAATCCGCGCACACCCACCACACATTTCTCGACCTCGACAGCAGTGCCAGGACGTCATTTCCTCCGAGCTGTTTGCATAGAATGGCGGTACCCAGTTGGTGTGTATGTGCACGTTATGTGCTCGCGCAACTTGACATGCAACCTGTCAAAAGGCGTGGACCTGCCGATCGCCGTCATTTGGTGTGCGGCTGGATTTCTGCCTACTTGATTTCTACGGAACGCGCTACACGCCACAAGAACGTGCTGTCCCAAGGTGTCCCCTGCCAAAGTCTTCAACAATCCGGATACAAACCGCGTATCCGTAGATTCGCCACCAATCAGCGGCGGCCACACCAAACCAAATCTTCGTGGGGCAACCGGTACCATACATCTAAAATTGCCATGGTCTGGTCCCGCTCGCTCCTTACCTCGTCGCGCCTTCCGACGCCGCTGCTCAAGCGCTTTTACGCTGCACCGTCGCCCATGACGCGCGCCTCCTCGTACATCCCGCCGACGACCAAGGTACACGTGCTCGCTTGAACGGTGCCTCATGCGTTGAGGTTGCAGTTTACCAAGATCATGTGCACGGTGGGCCCTGCGAGCGAGTCGCACGAGACGCTCACGCAGCTCATTGAGCGTGGCGCGCGCATTTTCCGCCTGAACTTTAGGTACGTTTCGTCCATGACCCTGGCCCTGCCGCTCACAACAGACTGTAGCCACGGTGACTTTGAGTCGCACGGCCAGCGCCTGGACGCGATCCGTGCCGCCTCGCGCGCGCTACAGATTCCCGTTGCTGTCTGCGGCGACTTGCAAGGCCCGAAGATTCGTGTCGGTGCCGTGCCCGCGTCTGTTCAAGTCGGCGACACGGCGTCGCGCTCGGGCGGCGGTCTTATCCAGGTGCGCGCAGGCGACGTCGTGGTGTTGTCGGCCACGGCGACCGAAGCGCACCTCCGCGACGACGGCACGCCCGTGCTCTCGCTCACGTACAAGGACATGGTCCACGAAGTCGAGGCGGGGCACCTCGTGCTCATCAACGACGGTGCGATTCGCATGCGCGCGATGCGTGTCGACGGCAACGAGCTGCACTGCCAAGTGCTCGTGGGCGGTGACATTACGTCCGGCAAGGGCATCAACCTTCCAGAGAGCAACATCAAGGCGCCGGCGATCACCGAGAAGGACTGGGCGTGCGTCGAGTGGGCCATGGCCCACGACCTCGACTACGTCGCGCTCTCGTTCGTCCGCAATGCGCACGAAGTCAACGCGCTCAAGGCCAAGCTCAGCGAGACGGACGGCCACCGACTCCACATCATTTCCAAGATTGAAAAGCCCCAGGCCATCGACAACCTCAACGAAATCGTCGAGGCCAGCGACGGCGTCATGGTGGCCCGCGGTGCGTCCTTCAACCCCGTTAACAACGAGGCATCTCACGCGTCACTTAGGCGACTTGGGCGTCGAGATGGAGCTCGCAACTGTCCCGATCATCCAAAAGCACATTATCGAAACGTGCCAAATGTACGGCAAGCCGTGTATCATTGCCACACAGATGCTCGAATCGATGATCACAAGCGTGATTCCGACGCGCGCCGAGGCGAGCGACGTCGCCAACGCCATCTTTGACGGCGCGGACGCTGTCATGCTCTCGGCTGAGAGCGCGACGGGGGCCCACCCGGCGCTCGTGGTCGAGACAATGGGCCAGATCATCGAGGCATCGGAAGGCTACATGCGCAACCACGTCAAGGAGCACGTGCCGCCGACGCGGACGGCCGCTGCCCACCACCTCACGGCGTCGCTGGCCTTTGGCGCGTGGCATGTGGTCCAGGAAACGAAGGCCAAGATGGTGGTGTGCTGGTCGCAGCACGGCAACGCCGCGCGGTACCTCAGCCAGCATGACTTTACGATCCCGATCCTCGCCTTCTCCGAGATCGAGCGCTCGGTGCATCAGATGGCGCTCTTCAACGGCGTCACGCCTGTGCACATGGCCGTTCCGTCGGGCACGGCGTCCTTTATCGACGCCACTGAGGCCCTCTTGCTGCAAAATGGCCTTGTCACCAAGGGCGACATGGTCCTCTTCCTCGGCGGCCGCCCCCTCGGCAAGTCCAAGAGCACGAACGCCATGATTCTGCACGAAATCGGCAGCAAGGCCAACTAATTGACTGTACCCATGTGAAATGTATTCGTCTCGAGAATTGTACGAGAAGATGAACACCCTGCATGGTATGTACTAGCCGACAACAAGTTTGGTTCTGGACGATACACATTTCCATGATGATTTCCACAACGCAATGTCCCATCGTCCGATTACCCGCTATGACTCCGGCCTGGTGAGCTTTACGACGGGCGCTGCAGAAACTGGATCTTGGCGGCATCTCGTGCACCATCAGCAAGGGAATGATCGGTTTTATTCCCTGGACCATCAGCAACAAGTTCAACTATACCCGGATAGCGACTTGTGATGGTACAACAACCAGTGGTAATAACTCATTTCAACACTCATAACTCATTTCAACAACAACCAGTGGTACAACTGCGATGGCCGCGATCCACCACAGCTGCCCCAGTGGGGCTGCTGGCAACACACCTTGTACTGACCAATGACTGCATCAAGTGCCGATAGAACGCTAATATGGCACTGTCACTCACTAGTCACGAGGCATCGTATTCGAGGCTAGTGCTGCATCAACCCGCCTTTCATCACCTGGTCTTCTCAAGTCGCTTGCTTGCCGCCCAAGCACAAGGAAAATTCAGCTGCAGCGCAATCTCGCGTTCATGGTCGCTATGTTGCTTTTGGCGCCACAATCCCACTACCAACAGCATTGCAACCTTGCAAATAAAATGCGCCACCCGTTTGCAGCACTCTTGCACTCATGCGGGCAGAGAATCTCGTACCCAATACGCCAAGCTACTCGAACATATTTCGCGCCCACGGCCCGTGCTACTGACGGCGCGTGGTCGATTGGCACCACTGCGCACTGGTCGATGTGATGGCTAATGGCCATTTTGACATGTGGGCGCTGACGCCGACACTGCGGGAGCTCTTGGAAGCGCCCCACACGAAGCGCGCGCGCAAGCCCACGTTCACGCGTTCGAAAAGCTCGCCGCTGCGCAACCTCGTGGACGACCCACCGCCGCCCGAGCACGTCCCAGTTGCGATGGTTGTGCGACCGAAAACGAGCCGTGACGTGGCATCGCACGGCGCGGCCGTCGTGCACATCGTAGTACCCTTTCGACCCTCTGAGCCCGAACGCAAGAGCGAGCTGTAGGATGGCATGTGCTTTATGATGGTAAACTCGACTACTCGTACTACCAACGAGCCTCGTCCACTGCACACAAACTGGGTAGCACCTTGGGCTCGATCAAGGGATATGATTTTACTGGTATTCCCTTGGGCTGGATGGATCGCATCCTCTTTCAAACGAACATTTTCCGCTGGTATTTTTACGAAATCAACGCGCGGAGTCCTAACAACGACACGTCAGTAGCGACTTGCTACTGACTGCATCATCAACCATCAAAGGGTGCGTGGATTGTCAACGTCGCTGCCAGTGTCGTGGCCATCCAGGAAACAGCGTTTCAACATATCCGGTGTGCAAGACAGTGTTTTTCAAACAGTGTTTCATATACCCAGCACAAACGCTGCAGCGTGCTTTGCACGCGGAGCTCGCATGGGGTGCATGGTGGATCGTGCAACGACGTGTGCGTGCGACAGTAGTCCAGCGACGTAGTGTAGTACCCGGCGCTTGGGCCTACCGTCTTGAACGAGACATCGGCGGACTTGGCTGGCGGACTTTGTTCGATCACTTGTCGCGGCCACATCCATGGTCCGCGGAGGTCCGCGGTACGCGTCTTGCTGCACGTTTCTTTGCAAAGGCAAAAGCAAGTGTCGTGTGCTCTTGTGCCATCCATAGACATGCTGACAAGGCTGCGCTTCCGCGTTTTTGTGCCTGATGGCTGGCCCCGAAATGGGCCGGGCGTGTTGAAAACATCTCGAGCTTTAAACCACAGCTGGTACACGTGATGGTACATTTGAAATGGCTATAGTGCTCTGTGTTTTATACATCATTGTGTTTTTCGAAGGCTGAATAAAACTTTTCGCGGTGGAGAGTTCAAGCTCAGCGATGAAATCGCATACACGAGCAGGACCCACGCCGCGACAGAAAAGGCGGACGCCTCGCTTGCTTGTTGTGTTAGGTAAACACGCCTGCATCGTCGTACTATGGAGCGGCGACCCACATCATGGACTGTCGAGGCAACGACTCGTGCATGCTGCCTCTTTCTCGCGTTGTCCCCGTCGGAAAAAAGTGCAGCGAACACAAATAACGACGTCGCCACATCTAGACCGCATGAAGCGAGCGAGGCCGTTGGTTCCAATCTGACAACACGCGCGATGGGCTGTCTGGTAGATGGGAAGAGATAGATACCAGATATGCACTCCCAACGCGTATGTGGTACATGCAAGTAGCAGATCCTCGATGTACACCTCCCGCACCTCCTCCACCTCTTCCTTCAACGTCCATGAAGCTCCTTTTTTTCTCTGGCATTTACTCTCGCATTTTGCGCATCTCGGCCATACCTCTGCCGTGCACCTACACTCTCTCATGCGCTTGAACTTTGGCGTCCGAATCGGCGTCGCCCAAAGGTTCTCTTCTTTGCTTCTTTACGTCGCTACGATGCGAACTGTGCGCCGTGGATGATGATGAGGTCGCGACAGGCTGTGCAACTGCGCAAGTGCAGGTGCTATCCCAGTCTCTTGACCAGCGACTCTGCTGCGACGACACGAGTCGAAGCGCGCAAATTTGCAAATTTGCGCGCATTTGTCTGGTTTCACTTGTACGCGATGCTAGCAGGACACCAGACCTTGCACTTGCATCGATGCTGGCAGCCGCGATCCCATACAAACATCAAGTGCAATGTCGACATGCAATTTCGTGGCGCACCTCGGTTTGACAAACAGACGCCTTTTCGCAAGAGGGCACCCGTGACTTATGTTGTGTCTGAGTGCCATCTGGCGCGTTTTGCACAGTGTAGAATCGACCGCGTCACTCTAGTATTGGCCATCCAACACCAGAATGCCGTGTGCACTGTGCGCCAAGTCGTTCAATCTCATCCGCCGACGCCACTCGTGCGTCGTGTGCAGTGCGGCCATTTGCCGCGACTGCGCCGGCGACAGCAACAAGTGCCTCCACTGCAAGGAGGCGGCCGCGACCATCCTTCCGTCCAAACCCACCACGTCGCCCAAGCTCCTCTTGAGCTACCGCGGCACGCGCAAGCCGACCAAGCAAGACGGCGTCTCGCGGCGACCGTCGCCACTCCCGATTCCTGCGCGCCGGCCGTGGGTGCTCACGACGCCGCCGCCCGCCGCGCCCGAGCAGCAACCAGCAGCAGCAACCGCAGCCCAAGAGACATTTGACGCTGCCGACTTTATCGACGACCAAACCGTGACCGACCACGACGACCCGATCGCCTTTCTTTCCGTGCGATGCGTTCGCGTCGAGGCCCACGTGGCGGCTTTGCGCGCGCACGGGCCGCTGAGCAACTTGCTGCACCAGGCGGCATTCGCGGCCAACGCCACGATCGCCAGCATCCAGCTCATTGGGCCCCAGCGCGTGTTTGCGGTCGCCGCGTACGGCTACAGCGACTGGAGCCAAGGCGTATGGGACCATTCGATGCTCGTCCAGTCGCTCGAAGCGACGCCAGTACCGGGGACCTCGAGCTTTCAAGGCATCGGCCACTTGACAAGCCATCCGTGGAGTGCGCAGCCGCATGTCAAGACGTTCATGAGCATTCCCGTCATGGTCGACGACGACCACTGCATTGGGACGCTCGACTTGGCCTCGACGTCGTTCACGGTGCCGACGCCCGAGAGCATCCAGGAGCTCCAAGTGATTGCGCAGTCGCTCGGCCCGATGCTCGTGGGCCTGATCGACGCGTGGCCGTCGAGCCCGCCCACAAACATGCGCCTTCATGCGGCACCGTCGTACGGCGAAGCCCACGACATGATGCAGGCGCTCATCGCCAAGGCCGAGCACACGGCCGACGTGGTGCGCTCCCAGCGGTCGCTTGCCATCAAGCCGCTGGCGTCGTCTGAGATTGGCATTTGCTCCATTTAGACGCATTTAGTTGTAAGTATCGCACTATTTAATATATCCACATTGGACTACGTAACTCGACGATGTGTACTTCTCATAATAGTGTATTGTGTTGGGCCTAGGATCGGAGAGGCTTTCTTTGGTGGTCAGGTGCTGCGACGGCCGAGCAGCGTGTCGAATCGTCTGGTGTCTTGCGATCGATTTATGGTCGACCGTAGCAAGTGCGACACTGTGCCACGAGGTTTCGCGGCCGTGAGCGCGGGCACGAAAATGTCGGTGACGCTCCATCCTTTGTGACGCGCTAGCATCATGGCAATGGTCGTGCCGTGGCGCCCTGCGACGTCGCATCCACGTGATTGAGAAGCTCAGGATTATGGCGCGTCAAGCGATCGCAGGCTGTCCGATACGATAGACATTATTGGCTGCGCGCATTTTTTTTGTTCTTTTCCGACAGCATATATATATGACGCACACGTCGTGTCGCGGCGACACCGCGCGAGCATTCGGGTGCTCCTTGTACATGTAGTCGATTCTTGCGCGATTATACAGCAGTTGACGCAGCTTCCTCGTAGCTGACGGGCGTGCACACGCCCGCACTAAAAGTGCTACGCAAGTGGATCTGGCAAGCGACCGCCTTGCTGGCTCGATTTTCGTCAAGACCATCGGCGTCTTTCGGTGCTTTGAGCTACATATGTATATTGAAATCCACTGTGTTCTGATCGAGAGGAGGTGCGACGACGAAACGCAGACTGCCATTTATCAAAGACATAAAACCATGATTGATCTCCTCGCATACTAGTATACCTCGCCCAAGGCGTTCAAGCTCAAAAGACAGCACGACGCTGTGGACAAGATCGCGAAACATGAAAAATGACATGGCCAATGAGAGACGACATTGACTGTGGTGTCTGTCGTTGATTGGTTAATCGAATTGCGATCTTCTCGTGTCGGTTGTCGACACTACGATGAGACCGCGGTGGCATGCCACCTGGTAGTCGTAGACGCGCCGAAGCCAATACTTGTGCGCTGTGCGCTCATGTGATGGACGCTATGTTAATCAACGTCGTTGGTCGATCGGCTTTGGTTGAAATGGTCAACATGACTCGTGCGATATTTCGACGCCTTCTCGCAGAAGTCCAACGCAGCAGCCCGCGGCGTGTCGCGGTCGGATGCATTTCGCGACGTGTCAATGCCATTTGCAGAAGTACGACACGCAAAGCTCCTCGTCCAATCGCACCCAACTGGAGCAGGTCTGCGCTCAGCGAATTATACCACGTAAAATCGATCGCCCAAAGAAGAAGAATGCTGCTGCGTTTGCATTACGGAGCGTTCGTTTGTGACTTATCATATTTTGTGGTACGTAATTAAAAGTTGATATCCCAATGAAGAAGATTCTATTTGGCACCACTTGGGCGCTGCCAACGAACGGCGAAATGGTCGAGCCCCTCTTGTTTCCTGCCATTATCGCTGTGGCGACGAGGAGCTGATTACGCCAGGCAGTACCAAGTCCTGGGTACGATGGCAAGCCCAGTATGCAACAGTCCGCTCGCTTGTGCGTGCGGCCCATCTCCACGACGTTTTGGCAGCGCACGGTACAAACTGTCGTCGCCAACTAAATCACGGCGGTGGCGACAGGACTCCTTACCTCCCCACGGAAAGTGTTACTTCGAGTGGGTAGTTAACAGGTCGCGACGAGACCCCATTGCCGAACAATGTCCCACGACAATGAGCCCGTATGGCCATTTTGCATGAAAGGACTGATAGCACATATATGCACGCATCTCGAAGCGGCGTCGCCACCCAAGAAACGCGTCGCGCGGCCCGTACGTATCCCACGTTATTGCTCCGCATACAACCGACCAACCACGACTGCCTACAACAACGGCCGCCAAAGACACGTCTCCACCTTCTCCACATCATGATTCATTATAGTAAGCTTGTCTTCGTTCTTCTTCATCTACCTATCTGTTTGCTATCAAGTTTGGTTGCCAGGCTTGTCATCCACGAGGCTTGCGCTGTCGCTGTCGTTATCCTGGACGATGCTCGAGCGTGGCGTCGCGCCAAGATACGCGAGCGCGCGCTGCTTGACGGTTGATGCAAACGACTTTTTGCACTGCATGCCAAAGGCTTCGGCGATCGCCTCCTTGACGATCGAACAAGTCACGAGGCTCGGCTCATACTGTACGTGCTCGACAACCACGTTGACCGCCTAGTAGTCGTAGTACACGGTAAATCGACCGTCAATATTCACTCGTGTTCTACCATTTCGACGGTGAGCGTTCGGTTGCGCTGTTGGCGCGCCGATTTCGGGGTGTTGGGGTGGACCTCGTTGCGGCTCAAGGTGTGGTTGTGGATCAAGTTGGCCATCGTGACCTTGACCTACGCTTACCATGAGGCTGATGCCGACGACGACGAAGAGAGTACCTCGCTGTTGCGCTGCTGGCACGCCCGGACCTCGAACGGACACGTCGGATCGGACTTGCACTTCCACGACCGGTGGCGCGAGTTGCCTTTGGCAAAGTAGAGCTGAAAGTGGCTGCGGAGACCGAGGAGGCGAACCTTCTCGGTGCACTCGGCCCAGCTCTCAAAGGTCGCGTCCGAGACGACAAAGCCGAGGTCGGCCGCAATGTCCATGAGCGTCTGCAGGTCGTGGGCGACGTCGTGCCCGTCCGTTTCAATCTCATTGTCATCGTCGTCGTCGTTGCCATCGTCGCCAAAGCGGCGCTTCTTGGAGCTGCAGAGGATGCGGTCGATCTCCATACTTCGTATACCAACGACGTCACGTTTGGTGCAATGACACCACCTGGCCGTCAAGTCTACCAGTATCCGGACTTGGTTCTAAAAACTTCTGGAGCCACCACACTTGGGTGTTGGGCCACTAGCCGCCGAAACACCAAGGCGCATGTGTAACGAGAGCCATGCGTTTGCGCCTGCTTGGTACGCAACGCTGGGACAGTCGTTACGCTGCTGTGGTCCATGACCATTGCACAGAGGCGGTCCTTCGGCTCACAAACAGCAACGTTCTCGCAACGCAGACGATTCCATTAAGCTGACCCATATCTTTCCACTGCATCCGGGCTATGGGCTATCGCACGCCGTGTGGTCGCGTTGTCGTCGTCCTTGGTGCATGGGACCCCCACTCAAACGGATACGCTCGACCGTTCCAGCGCGTAAGCGCCACCACCCAAGTAGCAAGCGCGAAAGGCTAATTTTCCCGATTATATTACCCGATAAAACGCCGTGTACTATGCGCATTTCGAATGTGTCACTGTAAAGTCAACGAAAAATACCCAGTGCGTGCTCGGAGCAACGTTACCGGTCGGTCTCGCGATTTGTATCGAGGCTGCCCATCAACACGCTTGGGACCAGTGCAGATAGCGGCCACACGCTTAGTAACCCGAATTATATACGCAGCCTGCTGCTACAAAGTAAGCAAAGCCGTTCCGGATTTGCCGTCGCGGAAATGGAAATAACACCAGCGAGGTACGGTCACATCGAGGGTGCTCGACTTGTGGAGGGATCGATAAGGATGGAAGTGATTAATGGAGGCGCGCACTAATGCTTCTTGTCTTGCGAGTGCGCGCGGGATAGTTCCGACCCCAGTGGGCGCTGATTTGTGCCAAGATTTCTTTCGCGCCCGAGAATATAAAATGAGAACGACCTCTCAGCATGACCCGGCGCGATCGAGGGTTGTTCGAATGGAAAAATGCATCCAGTCGACAACCTTGTATGGGCGTCTCCGCCATCAGCTGAGCGCACGCAGCTTCTTTGCAACATCGATCGTGAACCTCCCATTCGAGCAGGAGATGCGTCGTGCGTTCTCTGTTGCAACAGCTCACCTCGTGCGACCAAGTCGATTGGGCCCTTGGGTGACTCTGCATGTATCGAGATTGGCTCATGTACAGCGATTTGCGGCGTTTCGCTTGGAGGACCGAAGTCTCATCAGTCCGACGTTGTTGGCGATCTTGGCGGATAACAGTGCAAAGTATCCAGGTGCTCAAAGATACTTACTTCGGTTGACGTGCGCCAGGCATTGGTTCGACTTTCGACTGGGTGGAAAAGCATCACCGCGGCAGGCAGTTTCACGTAAACACACCGTTTCTATACTAACTGACTGCAACGGAATGAACTGAGTGCACGAGTATTTTCGGCTCGTTGGATCCTAAAACGGTCCGGATGGAGATCGTCTTTGCATGCAATGTTTCCAAGCAGGTCGCGACGAAGAAGTGACGCGAGGTTCAGACTTTTGGTCGGCCCCTCGCTGCTGCCTATGTATACCGACCCATCACTACTACCGTACTACCGTGCGACGGACGAAGGTGCGCGACGTGTGATATTACGACGACCGCAGCACGTTCAACGTCACAGCGCGCTGTAACCCGGGGATCGGCTGCGAAAGCAGCTCCAAGATGTTGCAGATCGTAGCAAAAAGACAAATGCAACGTCTCTACCGCTCCACGGCCGATCCACACCGCTCGACTGTCAAGCAGCGCGCATGGGAAATGCTGGACGCACCCCCGCGTAGTGCATGCACTTATGTGGGGCGAGTGCGACACATACCTCGCGCAACGCGTTGCAGACGGCAGTGCAGACGGACTATGCACAACGTGACTATGGCGTATGCATCGTCGATCGTGGCGACCGTGCGTGCTTGCTAGTTATTTGGCGCACACGACGTGTATGCAACGTGCAGTGGGTACGCACGCGGGCCTTTTTCTGTACGGGATCCTTCGCCATCGGAAATAGAGCCGACATGACTCATGGGTGCGCCGGTGGTACGCGGTTCGACCCACGCACTAGTCGAAAGGACGACGGGCGTGGACACCACGAGTCCAAATCCAAGCTGTTGGCACGACACCGCAGGTATGTCGGGACGGCGGGAAATGGACATTGGCATTCGAGCCGCCGAAGCAACAACCACGAGGGCAACGAGG